CCTTCGTCCTCGTCCTCTCTAACAGTGACGTGTCCTAACATAAGACTGCTGGGGTTTTTTTGTTTAAAGTATTACAGACTGTTCAGTTACATTAATATAATACATTCTAAATATGTACATTTTGTCTTAAAGTTTAACATAGTTTTTCATTTGACATTATTACTTTGACAGAAACATATTGAAAGTAGTAATTTCAGCCAGAAAATCTGTCAGTTAAAAATGAGACTGATCAAACAGTTGAGAAAATAAATATTTGTTGAAATAAATACTAAATTATAAAACATGAAAAAATAAAATTTTCTGATTGTTTTAGAGCCTGGTTTATTATTTGATAAAATGCCAAAAATTAGGAAAAATGTTTTTAAAAAAAATCCACTGACCTTATGCGTGTGTTGCTGAGTTTGTTTGTGTGTGTGTCTGTGTGTGTGTGTGTGTGTGTGTGTGTGTGTGGGCCGGGAGGGTCAGATTGACGTGGTGTGGTTTCATGTTACCTTCGTCCTCGTCCTCTCTAACAGTGACGTGTCCTAACATAAGACTGCTGGGGTTTTTTTGTTTAAAGTATTACAGACTGTTCAGTTACATTAATATAATACATTCTAAATATGTACATGTGGTCTTAAAGTTTAACATAGTTTTTCATTTGACATTATTACTTTGACAGAAACATATTGAAAGTAGTAATTTCAGCCAGAAAATCTGTCAGTTAAAAATGAGACTGATCAAACAGTTGAGAAAATAAATATTTGTTGAAATAAATACTAAATTATAAAACATGAAAAAATAAAATTTTCTGATTGTTTTAGAGCCTGGTTTATTATTTGATAAAGAGCACAAATAGCAGCAGAGCTAGTTCCCTCTGCATTTTATCTTCAATATATATCTTGAAAAAACAAGAAAGACTTTGTAGTACTTTGATAGTGTTTGAGAGCTTAGCTGATATTATGTAATATCGTATTTCTCCTGTGTCTGATTAAAATGATCAGTGCTGCCAGATCACAGCCACTGCAGCTTCTCTGAGTTGGTGCAGTTTGTTTTAATTTAATGTGATTATTGTAATGTGATGATCAGGGAGCCCTAATGACATCAAAGTGAATCTCTGCTCACTAGAGACTCTTTAATTAAATGTGATTGTGGACAGATGATGAACTGCTGTCGCTGCTGTTGAAGATGTTGCCGTAGCTGCGTCGCCTGTTGTAGTTGAAATTACATATTAAAATATTCTGAAGTGAACCTCCTGCTGTTTCTTCTGAAGCCGTCGCACCTGAAGTACACATGGAGCTGAATCTGCTGCTCCTGAGACAGCTGACCCCGAAGCTGCTCCCACAGATTCTGCTGCCGAACCCAATGACAATTTAGCTGCTTCTGCTGCTAGAGCTAATGAAGTCGTGGCTAAAGTTGAAGCTAAAAGCTAAAGGTTTCTGTTGCTGAATTTGTATTTGCACCTGATGAAGCCAAAGCTGATGTTTCTGATCCTAATGTTGCCACCTAGGCTAAAGCTACTCCAACAGAAGCTGCTGCTGCTGCTGGAGGTTTTGCGAAACCTGACGATGGTAAAGTTGCTGCTGAAGCTGCTGCTGCTGTTGCTGCTGCTGCTGCTGAAGCTGCTGCTGAAGCTGCTGCTGCTGCTGCTGAAGCTGCTGCTGCTGCTGCTGAAGCTGCTGCTGCTGAAGCTGCTGCTGCTGAAGCTGCTGCTGCTGAAGCTGAAGCTGCTCCTCAAGGAAACTGGGCGGGGGGAAATGTTGATCTGGGATTTTTAATACCAGGGTCAGGCTCAGTAGAAATGTAGTTTACATCCCAACAGTACAAAATATTATTTAAAAAAAAGTTCAAGGCGCACAGAGTGTGTGTGTGTGTGAGAGAGCACTGTCAGACCACAGGTGCATGGTTTGCAGTTTTGATCCTGTGATTAAGAGGTGCTACATGAGCATTCTGTCGTCACAGATCTGATCCTCCATCTGTGTTCTGAGTCACACAAACACACACGCACACATTCAACACACAAACACACACTCACAAATACAGAAATACGTAACATACAAACTGAAAAATGTCTTCATTTTTACCTTAAATTACTGTGACATTTTTACCCTCAGTTAAGTGTCTTAAATACTTCCACCGCTGCTGCACAGCTAGACGAATCCCCAACCTTTCTCCAAACACGCACACACAAACGTATACACACACGGCACACAGTCTGCAAATTTATTTCTCTTGGGGACAGGCGAGAATAAGAGAGATAGAGGTGAGAACAGTTCAAATAAAGATAGAAAAAGCGAGAAATTAGAATCGAGAGGGAAGTGAGAGAGAACAGGAGGGAGGAGAGAGAGAGAGAGAGAGAGGGTAAGATTTCTCCAGAGAGAGAGAGACGGAGAGAGAGACGGAGAGAGAGACGGAGAGAGAAATAGAAAGGTAGGGAGACACAGAGAGGCTGAAGTGTCAGTCGGGAGCAGAAAGCGTCCTCTCAGTTGATGCAGCATGTTTGCACCGCACAAACTGGGCCGAAGTCGAGAACACTACAGAACCCACAATGCACTGGGACAACCAGCGGCCAGCACCTGGGAACTGCAGGTATGGAAAAGGACATGAGTCGGATGGAGAGAACAGAGTGCATGATGGGAAAACAAGGAGAGGATGTGGGTAAAAGGTGGATTCCGACTTGCTGGACTGTTAACTGGGGAGATGGTGAGAAGAGGAGGAAGATTAAGAAGAAGCTACTGATTGATGATGGAACTGACACACACACACACACACACGCGCACCAATACATGAACATACAGTTGGATTTTATTGTAATTCTGCCGAAGCTGGAAGCAGGTGTTGGGAGTTTTTTTTCCCTCTCTGTCTTTTGTTAATGTGTGTTTTTGTGTGTGTTTGTGTGTTGTGTATTATAATTTCCCACAGTGTAGTTAATTACCATTCAATAACCTCAGCTTTTTGGCTGATTTATGTTTATTAGGAGCCCGGCTTTGTGCAACATTTGTAAACTTCCTGTTTAGAAACTTTGTGGTTTTACAGAAGAATTTGTATGAGATCTTGTAACATTGAAAAAGTTCCTCTTTTACCTGCAATGTTTCACACTAATTTTTAATATTCTTACCGCAGCAAAGTTTTAAATCAGGATTTATAAAAACCAGTGTAATATTAACTATAATCCATACAGTTTACTGCTCTTGGCTGTGACTCTGGGGATAATTCTCCTGCTGCAGAGAACCTGGCAGCATCCGATGGCTCTGTGATGGTGCTGACTGATGGCTATCTAAAGTACCGTTCAGAGCTTTTAGTGCTCTCCTCTCATCCAGCCTCTGGGCTCCAGGCATGGCCTTCCTCACCTCACTCCTGAAAGCATCGGAAAATAAATGCCTTTTGTTTGTAGAGTATATTTGCTTCTTTTAATCTAACTCATAAATTATTGTTCGATTGGAGTTCCTCGCAGGGATGGGCTTCAGAAGCCAGAACGATAGCTGAAAGTCAGCGGGGGCGAATATTCTAGTGATATACGAACGCTCGGCTGCGACACGTCTTCTTTTTTGGCCTGTTTTTTTATCTACTTTTTAGTACAAATTAGTAGATAAAAATGAGATGAAACAACATTTTTCTGCTGATTTCTGACACTTCACTGTGCAGATGTACGCTCTGAATAACTCCGTGTTTGGATTTGACAGGATGACATGCAGTTCAAGGAGATCAACATCACTCACCATGTGAAGGAGGGATCAGAGAAGGCCGACCCTCGTCAGTTCGAGTTGAGAAAAGTTCTGGGACAAGGCTCCTTCGGCAAGGTACAGCTCTGCAGTGTTTGTGTGTGTGTCCTGGACCCTAACCCTGATTCATGTCCTCCTAATGTTGAATGATGGTGTAAGGACGTCACTGTGATGACTGTGTATCACCATTTATCCTCAGAGCCTAAAATAAGTTCACTAGCAGTTAAACTATTTGGGCGTTTTCTGCCTTGCAGGTGTTTTTGGTGAGAAAGGTCACGGGGCCAGATGCTGGTCAGCTGTACGCCATGAAGGTCCTGAAAAAAGCCACATTAAAAGGTACTTTTCTGCTGCTGCTTTGGTGTTATTATAAAAAGTCAAATAACAGGAATGTTATGGAAGAAATTAGTTGTTCTATAAAGGAATAAAAACTCGAGGGATTTAGCTTTGTTTCTTTGTAAATGAATTCAACACATCAGCTGTGACGTAGACTGAGGCTGACAGACGCTGCAGTTGGAGGCTTTTTGTCAATGTTTTTTTCCCCTCCCACCGTTTGCACAGTCGTCATCACCGAAAATGGAATTTCACACTTGAACCTGAGATTTAGCAAAGATACAAAGAACTGAAGATTTTTTTTTTTCAACACCATAAGTAGTAGGGTTCAGAACTCCACACCTTCTCCCTCTGCTGGCAAAAAATACACAAACATTACTCTGTATGTTTGACTCTTTCTTTGTTTTTGTGTGTTTTCCTTTTTCTAACTTTGTTTTCATGTTTCCGTTTTTTCTCCAGTTTCCGTTTCCTGTTGATTGTTGTTTTAGCTTTTTTCGCTCTTGCTGTGACTCAGATTCTCACTGCTGCCATCTGGGAACTTCAGCAGCCAAAACAGAGACAGAACAAGGGGGATGTTTGGTTTGAGCCTTTCACTCAGATTTAACTGCTGATTTATGTGTTTTCCACTCTGTGTGCGTTTCCAGTTCGTGACCGGGTCAGGACAAAGATGGAGAGAGACATCCTGGTGGAGGTCAACCATCCCTTTATCGTCAAAATGCACTATGGTGAGTCAGCCAATCACAGGCCTTTATGGCCTGATAAATTATTCGAATGCTGTGTCACACCAGCTATTGAGGCTCTCAGGATGTTTTCACAAGCAACAGAAATGTTAAATTTTTATGTTACACTTTTTGTTTTCCCGTCCTTCTTTATGAAAACATCTTTTTTACTTCACCTCCTCTTTACATTTTCTTCCTCCTTAAACATGTCAATTTTTTCTGCCTTCTTGTTCTTCCATCCGTCTTTCTATCCCTCCTTATTTACCCTTTTTCTTGTACTGTTTATACCAGCCTTTCAGACTGAGGGGAAGCTGTACTTGATCTTGGATTTTCTTCGAGGAGGAGATCTCTTCACTCGTCTGTCAAAGGAGGTAAACATCTGCCCCCAGATGTGGGTATCATTTTTTTAAATAGTTAGTTAAATAGTAAGTTCTCAGCAGTAAGAACAGTGACAGAAGAATAGAAAACTGAAGAGAGTTGTTGAGTTTACTCATATGCAGTACATTTGTTGGCCTACAGGTGATGTTCACAGAGGAGGACGTAAAGTTTTACTTGGCTGAACTCGCCCTGGCGCTCGACCACCTTCACGGCCTTGGCATCATTTACAGAGACCTCAAACCGGAGAAGTGTGTAAACGTACACATGAACACACACACACACACACACAAAAGTGCAGAAAATGCTGATATTTCTGTTGTTTTGGTTTTTTTTTTTAGCATCCTGCTGGATGAAGAAGGACACATCAAGTTAACTGGTATGAAATCAATATTTTTTTATTAGTTTTTAATGTGATTTCCTTTATTGCTGACCTCTTTGTGTGCGTGTGTGTGTTCAGACTTTGGCCTCAGCAAGGAGTCGATAGACCACGAGAACAAAGCCTACTCCTTCTGTGGTACTGTAGAGTACATGGCTCCAGAGGTGGTGAACAGGCGAGGACACACACACAGCGCTGACTGGTGGTCATATGGCGTACTCATGGTGAGTGGACACTGGTGAAATTGTGTTCTTGTGGCAGAGAACATCTCTGACGGCACGGATGTTGTTTATTTCCCTCTGTTAGTTTGAGATGCTGACGGGAACGCTGCCATTTCAAGGCAAAGACCGGAAGGAGACGATGACCATGATCCTCAAGTAAGACACTTTATACTCTCTGATCCAATCACACTGAGGGCTTTTATTACAGCACATTTGAGATGATGGAGAGAGAAATTTAGTCAAAATGAGACTTTCTTACATTTGAGATGATGGAGAGAGAAATTTTGTCAAAATGAGACTTTCTTGATTCCTTCGTCTCTGCTGAGAGTGAAGAATGTATGGAGAAGAAACGTTGTGAAGAGGAGGAGGTCGGGGGGGATTGATGCAGTTTTATTGTGAAGAAATGGTCTTGTGTTCAACTTTACTTGCAGAAGGAATAAACTGTAAATGTTATAGTTCTGGTCCAACATTTTGTAGAAATACAACTAAAGGTTTGACCATAATAAAACAGTTTTACTGTTTTAATTGTTTTCAAACCTTCTACAGATAAAATTTTATCTAAGAAGAAAAAGTAAACTAGAAAAAAAAAACACGTACGACAGAGAATTTACAAAAGTTTACCAAAAACCCCTTTTTATTTAGTTTCCGGCTAACTGTTCACACACACCAAACAGTTTGTCATGTTTTATATTTTCTCTGGGCCCTAATTTATAACGTTCCAGGAAATGGTGAGAACTGATTCTGACCACATATAGAAAAAGAAAAAAAATGTGACTCTCAGGAAACATAAACGCGTTTCCTCCGTTGTCTCACTTTCATTCCCGGTGTCTTTCTTTAAAGAAAATGCTGATGCCTCTCTCTACAGAATGCTGACAGTGTTTCCTGTTCCTTTTGGTTTGGATATGCAATATGGACATTTGATGATGGTTATATGTCCCTGCAACTGTTTTTGTCCTTTCAGTTTACAATTCAGGACATTTGTTTTCTTCCCCTCTCCTTCTCCCTGTCACAGGGCCAAACTGGGAATGCCTCAGTTCCTCAGCTCCGAAGCTCAGAGTCTCCTCAGGAACCTCTTCAAACGCAACCCCGCCAACAGATTAGGTTGGTTCTTTTTCTGTAGAACCGCATGAGCAGAGCTGAATCAATAATGTCATCCCACATCTTGACAAATTTAGAGCCTGAGTCACATGCAGAGAATCTAATCTGCTGCAGATGAAGACGAGATACTGAAAGAGGGAAATGAGACACTTGTGCTTAAGTCTCTCTTTAATGTAACTCCCTTCCCAACACAGTCTTACGTTGTAGATAGAATAACCATATAATCTGAGGTTCAAGAGTTCAAAAGAAGAATTCTAGGTTTTTCACTAAGTAAATGTATTCAGATTATTTGTATTTTTTCTTGACAAAAGTAGGGAAACAATTTAAAAGATCAGCTGTATCAAGTTCAAACTAAAAAGTAATTTTAAAAGAGGTTTATTTCTTGGAGAAAATGTTATTTAAAAGAGGTTTATTTCTTGGAGAAATTTAGAGTTTTAGAAAAACTCTAAAGTTGTTATTTTTGGTTGTTTTTTGTTTTATTAAATTAGAGATTGTAATCGTTTCTCAATAGAAATTAAACCAAATTTGTCATTGAAAATTATATTAATCACTGAGGTTGATTTTGAAAACCCAGACTTAGTCTGCCCCCCACTGTTCATCAAGTGCTGTAGCACTCTCACACCACAACTGAAGATGATAATGACGTTTTCTATTGACAGGAGCTGGACCAGACGGAGTAGAAGAGATTAAGAGACATTCCTTCTTCAGCACCATTGACTGGAATGTTAGTAAAACACAAACCAAACCATTTTAAAACAAGTTAAAAGTGTCAGAGAATCAACATTCTCGTCCTCTTTCTCATCAGAAACTCTTTCGGAGAGAAATTCACCCTCCTTTTAAACCAGCCGCTGGTCGACCAGATGACACATTCCACTTTGACCCTGAGTTCACTGCAAAAACACCCAGAGGTAAATTCTGATTTCCACCTTTCTTCCTCACCACCTTGCCTGACATCCAGTTGATTAGAACATGAAGAGATTCACAGCTGTGTATTTGTGTTCTCGCCTCAGACTCTCCAGGTGTTCCTCCCAGTGCTAATGCCCATCAGCTCTTCAGAGGATTCAGCTTTGTGGCGATCACAGAGGAGGAAACACAACCATTGCCCAACACAATAGTTCAGGTACACACACACACACACATTCACACACTGGCTGCCAGTACTGAATAGATTAGTTCAATTTAACCAGTGTCTGCTGACGTTAAACACCTGGCTGCCACAAAGGCTAAATAAATGTCGAGGACAAAGGGTTTGTAAAACAGACATTATTTTTATTTCCCCTTGTTATTACTAATGTAATGGCAGTGCCTTGGACATGAAGATTTACAAATGAATTGACCCAATTTCTGGGTCAAAATATTTTACCATTGAGCTCAGTGTTTCCACCCACAGATGTAGGTTTTATACACAGCCCAAATACTGAATAATCCAACATATACTTGTGTGTATTTCCTACAGCAACTTCACCGCAGTACGTCGCTGTTCTCAGACGTCTACGACATCAAAGAGGACATTGGCGTCGGCTCCTACTCCATCTGTAAACGCTGCGTACACAAAGGCACCGGAATGGAGTACGCTGTCAAGGTAACAACACAGAAATAAAACCTGGCAGAGACTGGGGGTGAGTTATACGACTTGACCTGATCAGAGACGTCTTACCCCTGCGCCTGCTTCAGATTATCAGCAAATCAAAGCGAGACCCAACAGAAGAGGTGGAGATCCTGCTGAGATACGGACAACATCCCAACATCATCACACTGAAGGACGTACGTGAAACAAACTCATCTTCTCTACGTCTCGCCTGCTCTGTCGTGGTAAAGAAACTAAAATCTGGTTTTCCACTGTCGCAGGTTTACGATGACGGCCGCTCCGTCTACCTGGTGATGGAGCTGATGAAAGGTGGAGAGCTGCTGGACAAAATCCTGCGACAGAAGTTCTTCTCTGAGCGAGAAGCCAGTGCTGTTCTCTACACCATCACCAAGACGGTGGAGTACCTGCACGTACAGGGGGTAAATCCTGAAAAGAATGTGTATAAAACACACAGCAGAAAGAAGACCTCCACTCTAAAAACTAACAACAAACACATTTACAGGTGGTGCACAGAGACCTGAAGCCCAGTAACATCCTCTATGTGGACGAGAGCGGGAACGCCGAGTCCATCAGGATCTGTGACTTTGGTTTTGCCAAACAGCTGCGAGCGGAGAACGGCCTGCTCATGACGCCCTGCTACACTGCAAACTTTGTTGCACCAGAGGTAACAGCCGCTCAGATCTTTCTTAAGGCGAAAGAACCGGAGTAGTCTGAAAGCTTTTTATTTATTTATTTGCAGAGATTTTAAATGATATATGTTTTCAGTATAGATCTTCCCTACAAACCCAAAAAATGTACCGCAGAAGTAACTGAAGGAAATATTCTTTAACCACAGGAAACGCCATTGGTTTGGTGTAAAGTGAAGAACGTTGCACTGTGACTTCACACTCACTCTTCTCTGTTGGTGTCAGGTATTAAAAAAGCAAGGTTATGACGCAGCCTGTGACATCTGGAGCCTGGGAGTTCTGCTCTACACCATGTTAACAGGGTGAGTGTTTCAGAGCAATGTGTTTACACGGTCCCACTGTCTCTGTCCTTGCTAATGTGCATAGAAAGAGCAAAGCACAGACCAAATTCTTTCAGTGAAACTGAAACTTAGGTGTCACTGGTGTCGTCTCTGCAGCTTCACTCCCTTTGCTAATGGACCAGAGGACACACCAGAGGAGATTCTGGCTCGTATCGGCAGCGGGAAGTTCTCACTCACTGGGGGATACTGGACATCTGTCTCCACGGAGGCTAAGGTGAGGACGCCAAAAATCAAAGGTTTTTCTGTTGTTTGTTTTAGTAGTAAACACTTCTCTGAGTTCTCTGTGACTCCTGTTCTCTCAGGATTTGGTGTCTCGGATGCTGCATGTGGACCCACACCAGCGGCTGACAGCAGGTCAAGTCCTCAGACATCCGTGGGTGACACACAGAGACCAGCTGCCTAAGTACACGCTCAACAGGCACGACGCACCACATCTGGTTAAGGTAACGCTTCTTCTCCTTAATGCACAGCGGTCAAATGTGCTGCTGAAGTGAACAATTGGTATAACGTTTCTTTTGACCAAGGGAACCAACCCAAGAGACTGGGCTTCAGTTTTAATTTTAAAAATCAAACATCAAGGGAGCTGCTGCTAATAATTTAAAATCTTGTCCTACTTCAATAAAATCCTACAGTAATACAGTTACACTTCTAAAAAAGGTTGACAAATAAGTAATACGCTATTTTTCTTGATTTGCGTTTTATTTAAATAAATAAAAATCCTTCCCTCTTTCTGTCCACTAGGGTGCGATGGCTGCCACCTACTCTGCCCTCAACAGGAACGTCCCTCCAGTCCTAGACCCTGTGGGCTGTTCCACTTTGGCACAACGGAGGGGGATGAAGAAGATCACCTCTACTGCTCTGTGAACTTTAACCCCCCCCACACCCTCACCCCTCCCCTCCTATCAACTCAGACCTCGATCTGACCTCTGCTGGACCCTCTACCCTCCTCTCCCGTCCACTCTGGGATGGTCCGGCAGGACAGACTACTGATGAAGCCAGGAACTGCTAACGCCAAAATATGAGCAAAGAGTTGGCCACTGATGCCTGGCCCTGCCCCCCCCTCCACTTCTTGTCCCTCCCCTGCACCTTAGCAGACTCCTCTGATTGGCTTATATCGCTGTCTTAAAGTAGAGTCTTACTCTGGTTTGGCGTCACCAATCGTCAGTTCTGCAGTGTCTTTTCTTCTCTGCTGTCGAGGCTCAGTCTTCCAGCAGAAGTTTTGCTTCGGACAATCAAAACTGCCTCATTAAAATTCCCAGAGCAGCATCAGGAAAATGAAAGAACTGTGTTTACTCGCTTCAAAACCAATGGAAAGATCTGCTGAACACACACACACACACACACACACTGAGCTAACGTATGTATTTAAAAGGAAACTATTGTTTTTGTTATTCAAACCTCGCATTTTTTGTGTGGGGATGGGCATTTAAAAAATCGGAAACAAACGTAGCTGGAAATTATTTCACAAATATTGTGGTTTTTCTCATTGCTGCCCAATGACGATTAGGAATTTATTCTGTGTCCTCCCCAGACCAGCTGTTAGCCAAAGGGCCGAGGCCTCAGGTCTCACAAAAGCTATGACAATCTGTGCAACATGTCCATAATAACCCACATCAAAGGATGTAGAAAAAAAGCACACAGGAGTTGTTGTTCCACGACTGAGTTGAAGTGTGATGTGTTGAATATTGATTTGTTTTAAGTCCTCGGTTTATGTCTTTTCACCTCAATGACATAAACCAATCATACAAGGTAGCAGTTGACCTGCTGACCTTTTGTCCAGACATGATAAATGTGTAAGAGCGGATGGATTTAAGGTGGAAAAACCTCCTCAGATGTTGTAGACCTGGAGTGGAATACATTCTAGTTGGATATTTGTTGGCAGTTGTATGTAAGTACAGCTTGAAAACAAACAAGAGTTGATGCTCCCTCTCCACCGGGTTTAAACGTTACACAGCACAGTAGTTATGGCCCTTGTTTTCAGGTCATTGTGAAGCTCGAGTCATCCCTCAAATCAGACAGAAGTGATCAATAAATAGATTCCTATCATAGCCTTGTATACTGAGACAGTACTATGGTCTGCTTTCTTTGGTTGACCATTTTATTTTCGTATAATTTCAGTTTTCATTCTCTCTCAACAGTCTGAAGAATCAGCTTTTTGTGCCTCGGTTCCGGGACGTATGTGATTTTCTTAAGTGTAGAGGACGAGCGTTTTTAACAGAGCTGAGCTGCCGCTTAACTTACACTGCCTCTGTGTGGAGGAAATAAGAACTGCATTACTTATTACTCTGATTACAGCTGTTGTCACATTAACTGTCAGTCCATGAGCCATGCTTATCCCTACTGTGTTAATAGACTTCCTTTTTTACGCCTGACTGGCCTTAAGGGTGACGTCATAAATGTTTGCGGTTAGTGGCAGGAGACAGTTAGTCAGCGATTAGCAGACTAGCTCACACTTTAAAAAAAGATTTATGCTACTTCCATATTGTACTGTAGAGTCTGGTCTTAACTCAACATTTGTAAGAAAAAGGGAGACTTTGTGAGTGTATTTGGAAAGTAAGTCAGAGTCAGTTTCAAAGGAATTCAAATGTGACCATTCAACCCTTTTGAGCCTTGAAAACAGTTCAATACTGCAGCACACAAACGGTTTGGGCGAGGGTATTATTACCTCAATGTCACACTGTAGTAAAGGCGAAAAATTAAAAAAAAAATCAGTCAGTTCAGCCAATAAACTGTTTCTGTTAAAAACAACAATTGTAGATCAACACAAACAGGATTTGTTTTTGTTTTTTACTGTAACGCCTGCACAAATCACTTCACCATTTTCACGTGCCCCCTCTCTATTATGCACTGCACCAAATTATGCACGAAGATAGACATTTACAACAATCAAAATAGGAAAAAGTATAATGTAAAAACCTGCAACATGTTTTTGTTTTCTTTGGTCGTCAACAAGTTTCACTGAAAGTGGAGAATTTTCTGTACGAGCCATGTGATCACTGTCACGCAATGATGACACAAATGAACCGCAGAGCAAAATGTAAATACTCCTCACTAAACAAACTCAGGTTTCTACAAATCAAAGAGGATGCATTCTGTAAACGCCACGAGGGCGTGGTTATAAAGCACACACACAAAACGCAGGATGGCGCTGCAGTTTCTAAATAATGAGAAGAAGAGGAAGAAGATTTTTTTTTCTTTCAAAACCAAAGTCTTGGTCTGATGTTGGGACAATTTGTCTTCAGGTGGTTTTTGTTATGAAATCCAACTCTTTAATCATGATGTGTTGATGAGCCTGCAGACAGTTAACTGAACCCTTTAGATCCTTGTCATAAGTTGATGTGATGTCTGATGGGTAAAACTATTAAGTTAGTTCACCCAAACAACTAGAAAGACAAACTACTGGGAGTACTACTACTGGAAGAAGTACAGCAAACAAGACTTACACTTGATCTGGCACAAGATTTAAATTGCAATTTAAGACTAGCACACACTCCCCCTAGTGCCGGGGTTTAATATGCAACTTGGAAAAGTGTCTTAGCCTGTGATGCAAATTAAAATTATTGATGATTTCCAGATCAGGTGACTAATTACAGCACAAACCTCCACTGGGCTGCACAACAACCATTCACTATCTGTAAAATCATAGCCATTTAATTGACAAGATCTGCCTGTGATGCAAAGAAACCACTAAATGAAAAAGGTGCCAAATTGACTGCATATAAAAGTCATAGAGAGGACACGGCATCTATTCTGTGATTCGATGACCAGGATCATCATCATCTTCTTCCTCTTCTTCAACCTACAGCGTTCATTAAGGTGAATCGTGGGAGACTTTTTTTCGTCGCTGCTCTTAGACGAAATGTTTGTGTTTGTGGATTTGCATATGAAATAAATATATATATAAGTTGATCTGGGATAAAGGAATGTAAAAGGAACGATAAAACTTTTTTTTCCTGTAACTGTAAAAAGGTGAACAGCTTTTTCTCTCTTCTTCCTCTTCTCGGTTTCCTGCTCCTGTCACAGATGCAGTCAGTCCTGCTGCTGCTCCAACTCTCTGTTTTTGTATCTGCACTGAGAGTTGGACTTTATACAAAAAAAAAAAACAATAAAATGGATGAAAAACCACACAAATATGCATGCTGACATTTATTGAGCACTTATAAATAAATTCAAATATAGAGCAGTGTCAAATTATAAACAAATATATATATATGTTACTTTTTCTTCTGTTGCAGCTTTAATTTTATTTTAAACTTTAAAACATAATTACAACAATTGAATTTTAGGTTTTGTTAAGTACGACTGAATCTCAAAGTGTTAAAAAGGTTACTTGGAATTATTGTCAATGTTCAGTCTATATAAACAGAGAGCCCGCTACAAACGTCAAATTGCTGCTCCGAGCAGAGACTGCACCCTCTGGCGGCAAGATGTAACACAGCAATGGTTTTAATTTTTTAAATTTCATGTAAAGAAATTATTATTGACGGACAATTACTCCATGTTATTGTTTACCCTATTATCAGCTTTTTCTTCAACAATGTCCCAAGTCATTTTATACCCAGAAAATAATTTTAAATATTATTTCAGACCACTTATACGTCTTTGTTGCTGCGACACACCAATTTTCCCATCGAAACCCTAAACAAAAATTTCAACCTAAACTATATATTAATTTATCAACTTCTTATCTGCGTTACTTTTACCTTTGAAGAAATAACGCGACAACAGGCGTTTGTCACTGTAACCATTTCCTGTTTGAATAAAGCACCGGTATTTTTGAATCTGGTATTTTGCGCATGCTCGGAGCAACTGAGACTCCAGTATTATCTGTGGTTAGCCAAGCTCACATTAGCTTCCGCTAACACTGTCTTTTCATACGGGACTTTAAAATCCAAACACGCGTATCCACCTACTGAGCGGATTTACGTGAATTCACGTGAAAGAATATGCCCAAAAATAAAGGTATGATCGTAATCTAAGCCGTGCTCGTATATGTTCTTGGGTTTTCGCTGATTGTCGTCTGACCGTGTACAACCCGCCGCTCTAACCCAGGCATTGAAAACGTGACACGGTTAGTGGCTAACGCTGGTTAGCATCGGCGTCAGAGACAGGTTGATCCTTATTGCCTCTGTCTAACATCCAAACGGCACAGAAACGTAGATTCATCCGGGGTTGGTGAACATCTACAATATAACACGTTGTTACACTTGAGTAGTTAAATCACAACAGCTGCCAATTTTAGCTGCTAACCAGCTAACTAGCCGTTCTCTGCTAACCATTGGTTATACCCCACCCGGACTGAACCGTAACGTTTCTAATTTATCCTTAACTAAGCCGTAATGACACCACTAAACTGTAAAACGAGTTATTTGGTTAGCTCTTTGACTGTTTTGACTTCGTAGGCGAAGTGACGTATCGTTTGGTCCAGTGTCTGATTCATGAGTAAGATGACGGTAATTCTAACATCTATTATCCTAATGTGACTCGACACCTGGAATGTCCAATTTTTACGTAGCTATTAGTTAACGTACCAGCACTCCATTGTTATTAATCACGAGAGCATCAATTATGGTCTGTTGTTCAAGTTTTAATCCATTGTTGAAAGCATCTGTAACCTTTAACACAGTTAGCTGCTAGGTGGTTTCTACCGGCCTTTAAAAATATGTGGTATTTACGGTATGACATTACCATCTAGATTTCAAAAGACAACAGCAACTCGGGTTCTATTAGGTTTTGTAATTTATAATATGTACAATACCAACGTGAGCGGCACCTATTGAGACAGATGTTGTAGTCCTCAGTACAGCATACGTTGTTAGTAGTTACTTTTAATGTTACTATATGAAGTTATCCATACTTTGCAGTGTCTTTTATCCATTATTCTGAATTAGGAAAGAGTCTTGTCCAAAACGGTCACCTGGTTGTCAAAAGTCATAGACATTATCTTTCAGAGAATTACAAAAAAAAAACTGTTTTCTAAGCACTATATTGATTTTTGTCAATGTTTCAGTTCTGTCAATAATCAATTATTGTTAATATTCTGTTCATTTTCTTAAGGAGTGACGCCTTAGTATTCATATGTCAGTGTTTGAACGATGTATAATCTTTGTGTGTGAGAGAACGTGTTTTCCTTTATATTTGTATAGTTATTGGCAGATTACCTTTTTAGTAGCCTGAAGTGAAAGACTAAACACACCATTGACTAAATCATCTCATCTGTGCTAACAGGTAAAGGAGGAAAGAATCGGCGACGTGGAAAGAACGAGAATGAGTCTGAGAAGAGGGAGCTGGTGTTCAAAGAGGACGGACAGGGTGAGTTTCAGCAACACTTCAGGTTTGATGTAGTTAATGTGTTCACATTCATTCAGGGTTATTAATGCTGTCTCTCCTACTTTTAATATGTTTTTGCATTGAAAATATTCATAAGACCTGGTACTATTTCCTGTGTGAAAGCAGGTGTTGTTCCCATCACTAGTATTTTGTGTGCTTGGCTAACTTGATGACTGATCAAATTGATTTGGATTCTGTTATCTATGTGATTTTTAGAGTATGCTCAGGTGATCAAGATGTTGGGGAATGGACGTTTGGAAGCCATGTGTTTCGACGGCACCAAGAGGCTCTGTCACATCAGGGGGAAACTCCGGAAAAAGGTGGGAATGTTGCGAGCGCTGTTACCTAATAACTACAGTGGAGCATATGCAGAGCATCCTGTGATGTAACATTGGATCAGCCTGGACCAAACTGTTTTTGTTTGTGAGACGTGTGTCGTAATCTGGTTGTTTCTGTTTTACAGGTTTGGATTAACACGTCGGACATCATCCTGGTGGGACTAAGGGATTACCAGGTACATTATCCTTGTAATCCTAACGTTGACCCTCACTGTGAGGACATTGCTCTTCTTTAATTTCACAGACACAGACAACATCTGTCTGAAATATAAGTATTATTTCTTAACATATCTCATTTAAACAACAATCTTTCTTCCAGGACAACAAAGCTGACGTCATCCTGAAGTACAACCCAGATGAGGCTCGCAGTTTGAAAGTGTACGGGGAACTGCCAGAGCACGGTGAGTAGGCTGCAAAAAAAAATAAAAATGACGGGCATTAAAACTTGATGGCAACTACAGGAAAAACACAAACCGGAAAGCTTCTAGTACTGCTATTGTGGAACACATAGTTCTTGGTACCGTCCCTGGTTCCTCTTGTAGAAATGTACATCAAGCTTAGTTCAAAATTCTTCGTCACTAACATTTCTTCCAGTTAAGTACTTCCTGTCTAACCTGGTCTTGTTATCACAGCCAAACTGGACCTGGATGCTCTGGGTAACATGGACGATGAGGTGCAGTTCGATGACGATTACGACGTCAGTGACGACGACGAGATCGAGGACGTAAGTCTTCATTTTTAATTTCAAACATTTTCTAAATGTTGGTGAAAAATGTATTTCAGATAAAAGATGGAAAAATTATGAATTAGACAAATGTTTCTCTTTTTTTCTTTTCTAGATTTAATCAGCTGCGTCTGAAGGAGGGAATGTTGGACTTTACTACACTTGCTCCTATTGAAATATCTGGAGCCGTAACATCGATGAAAATTCTAATTTTTAATCTACGTCAAAACAACAGTTTATTAACAAACATAAATATGTTTCAAGTCATTAAGCATCAGATTTTTTTTTTTATTTTGAAAGATTTTTGCATAAAAACACGTCAAGATTTCTGTAAGTTTATTTAGCTCCTGCTTTAGTACCACAGTGTGCAGCTGGGGGGCACTACAGCTGGACTGCAGATTCAGATTGGGCTGATTTATCAGCATAAAAGGAGCTCCTAGTGTAGCTAGTTTTTTTTTTTTTTTTTTTGTTTGTTTTTTAAAAAAATTCTTCTGGCATTCTGCCGCCTCATTCGCTTAGTCGTAGCTCATTTTTTCCCTTAAACAAAGACATGACTGCAAACAATCTCACACAAGAAACAATATCTTTTAAAGAAAATGGTATATTTATATGGATTTCACATTTGCTGTGGAATTTAAATGAAGTTTCAGAATCTCTGGGTTTAACAATAAAAGGACAGAGTCATTCTTGTTTTCTTTCTTTATTGCATATAGTGTTAGACATTTTAAGTCATTATTTCATTTGCTGGTTTTAGAAAAAAAAATCTGCAAATTAAGTTGATTGCTGTTCCCTAAATTCAAAGAATACTTTCACAAGAATCTTTTCACTGTTTGTGTGTGTGTGTTCTTTCTGTTTTCTTTTTTTGCTGCTCACTCTTACAGTTTCAACACAGCAACGTTGGCCTGTATGTCTCAGAACAGCTGTTTCTAATAAACTGGCCCAACATCAAGGCAGCTCCACCTGCTCTAACGTGCTCTACATTGTACCAAGATGGTAGTTATAAACAGAATATATTTTCCTCTTCCCTCATGAATCCTCCCTACAGGTGGCGTTGTAACTAATTTTGGGCACTGCTGCTCTGAACACAACATGGCCTGACCCTGCTGTAGAACTGAATTTACAGAAAACTATTGTACAATGATGTTTAAAGGTTGGGTTTCCAATAAAGGTCTGAAATCTTCCTCAGAGTAAAGTGCTTTGAAAACCTGAAGCCATTTTAAATTTTTGATGAAATTGAACCAGGTGCCAAATAAAGTGCAAACATTTATTTCTTTTAGCTCACACTGCTCTAACCCTGCGACACTCCTGACGTCAGCAAACTTTTACAATCAAAATGGTCTGTATGGAAAGGCACTACGGAAGCCTAGCTGGATGATTTAATATCGGGTTTTAAAAATAAAATTACATATCTATACCGTGGAAGAATTAGGCCCCAGTCACATGACGTCCGATGAGAAGTTATAGATTACACCAGGACATCTGATCCTGAGTCAGTGTGGATTTACTACGGATGGATGTTTGTGGATGCGTGATTTAGGACAATCGTTTCCTGTTATTGGCAAAAATACATTTCTTTATATAGTTTACATGTGTAATGACTCAAGTGTGTTTGGGAGAGCGAGAGGTGACGTCACAAAGCCACGTGTTTCGTGGCATGAAGCACATAAAGGGATTCGAAAACGTCAGAAAGGACAGTGATGGCGTCACGTTGCAGAAAGTCTTTGAACAAGAAGTTAGTTTCACATTTTAGTTTTTAGCGATTTCAACGAGGCTCAAACTACTTTATCACATTATACTACATCCACTATCATTATAATTATTACACAATTATTAATTATTATAGACTTATAGACTAAAACAAAAGTGACAACAACCTAACCTAAATCAAATCTTCACCGAATATAAACAAATAAAAAGAGGTGTATATTAATGTGTTTTTAGACGTTGTTTGTCTCCGGTAGTGACGTCACTGATGCGGCTGTCGAGGGATGGAGCTCAGTTTCTTCATAGATGTTGCCAATGACAAACTGACTTCAACAACCACCTCGTCAGTGCAGTCAGTTTAACAGCTCAGAGAGATTCCTGTAACGACAAGATGACGACCCAGGAGGAGACTGATCTGAGAGCAGGTAAGAAGATATCTGTTACCGCTGCCTCTGCTGTCACTGCTGATGCTGAAGCTGCTGCGGCTGAGGCGGAATCTACTGCGGCTTCACCATCATATAAGTATTTAAATAAGGGTAAACAAAGAAAAAAAAGATCCTATAGATAACGATGCTATGTATGTTGTTCTAAGAGAATGTAGGATTAATCTGTGATTGGATGTTTTATTGAAAATGTCAGTTTAGTAGGTGTCACGTGAGCAGCAGTGAGTGTAGTGTGATTTGGGATATTTTTAGCTACTGTGCTACTTCGGTATGTTCAACCCAAAATGCACAGAGACAATCGTTTATTCCGCATCACAGCACAGAGCAGATGATGATCCACTGCAGGTCCAGAGCTGTTGGTTTATGTCCTTTACTCAAATCTAACCTCAGTGACACAAACTGACCACACGGGGCAGCAGCAGACCAGCAGCTAATGCATTCCTGGGCTAATAGATAGTTTTATCTATGGATTTCGGCATAAGAAGTTGACATTAAAATGGGTTGAAATGGTATAATGTGATTAACGCCTTCCCTTATTCCGACTTCTGCCTTTAGACTCTGGACTGGAGTTAGCAAAAGAAGGACGGAGAAATAGAGAAAAGACCCAAGGTACGAAACACTGTGAGTGAACACACAAATATCTCAGAAACTGGGAATGATTAGCCAAAAGAGAGACAATTGTTAAACGATGAATCCAAAATAGATGCATGTATTGTATTTATGTGTTTACACATGAATCACCAGAAATGGATATGATGTTAAAATAGCTATAAAAATAGGTAAAAGCCTCAAAATATGTGTATATGATATTTTAATAAAAATGTAAGAGAGCATCTAATTAACTTGTCTGTGTTTAACTGTATGTCTTTTCACAGATCTGTCCGAGGTACTGCGGGAGAAGGAGCGTCGAGCCCAGCAGCAGCTGGAGCGCTGCGCTGAGGAGCAAAGGAGGAAGATGGAGGAGCAGAAGAAGAAGGATAAGCGACGTAGAGTGGCTGCAGAGGAGAAGAGGAAGAAGTATCAGGAGGCAGAGAAGGTCAGTGTTCACACGATATGATAAAAACACACACACACACACAAAGTTCTCCGATATGATAAAAACACACACACACACAAAGTTCTGAGGAGAGAACACCCCACCTTTGGCAAAAGTTGTCAATATTTGTAACTGTTCACGACCATGTGATCAATAATCCCCGGTGACTAAATCACTATTGATTTATGACACATCGATTCATGTTGAAATTGTCCAGAACCAGTTGATTTTGGTTTTTGAGCAAACCTCTACCCACCAACACAACACCTGAGGAGGCAGTTTCATACATACTCCCTTCACATGCTGTTATGTTATTGTCTGTCCAACTCCAGCTGCTTCAAAAAGTAACTGCCATTTATTAAATTAAGTTGACCTTAAGGTTAGCTAGCCCAAAAAGTTTGACTTTAGACCCTGGCCTTGTTTACTCTCCTGTAGCCTCCATTTTAAAAATGCTATCAGCTGTCACCTTTAGCATAGTAAATATTTAAAACAGCTGGTATGGATGTCAGTGTATTTATGTATTTATGTATGTATATGTGTGTGTGTGGGTGTGTGTGAGTGAGAGAGCCTGGTTTGCACAGTTTATGCAGTGAGCCTCGGTTCACATTGACTGTCTGTTCCGGAAAGAGTCATGTGATTGGCTGGCAGTGATGTCATCTCTCTGGAGACTGGCGTTATTATGTCATTATGTTATGCAGATGAGGAGGAGAAGGAGGTTTTGTTAGCTGTTAGCATGCAAACAAAGCCTTTAAATCAATAAAGGCAGTGACAGCAGTGACCTGGTGTCTCTGCGGAGCAGCTCGTCACTTCAACACACCTCCATCATATGATGGAGGTTAAATCATTCAGACAGGAGGAGGGTTAACAATGACAACGATGTGAAGAATCTCACAAATAATAAATACTTGGTCATGTAAATCAGGTCAAATCATATTTTTTTAAATAATACAACCGTGTTTATTTACAAATCTCTGGCCCAGCCTCCTGCTAAAATCTGTAAATGAGAAATTTACAAACATATTAAAAAATAATATCAAGACACATTGAAGGGATCATTTGTTTTAAAATAAAAATAGATGTAATTTTTTATTTTTATAATAAATATGTAATTGTGTTAATAGCCATTATACAGTACAGTTAAAAAAACACAATGCAGAGTGTGTGTGTGTGTAATTATGGGTGGGTGGCTTGATGTGTTGCACTTTGGCCCCTCCCCTCTGATAAAACCCCTCTAGGCAATAGACTCAGTCATTTCAGAGAGAGAGAGAGAGAGAGAGGCAGACAGAAGTACTGTAGAGAGAGAGAGAGAGAGAGAGCTGCTGTATTATGTATGCGTGAGTGACAAAGCGTCGGTGGGCGATCGAGCAGTGGTCAGTGTGTTGTTGAGGTGACAGCAGTGAGGGCGAGGTTCTTTCTGCTGCTGCTGCTGCCGCTGCTGTTGTTGCTGCGGTAACCATGATGGCGCAGCATCCCTCTCCTCCCTGTGGATCACCGGGAGGCCGTCGCCGTAGTGACGGCTCAGCTCGTGAATGTCTTTTCTTTCCCGTCTCTGAACGCAACGAGAAGGAGAGGCTGGAGGCCATGGTCCGTCGGAGAGCTGGGACCAGTGAGACCAGTGCTGGAGGAGGTGCTTTGGAGCAGCTGGACAACAGGCCTAAACGCTGGACTTGGGGAGGACCACCAGATGGAGCAGAGGGTGAGTGACGACGATGATGATGATGACATGACGGGAATGATCAGAAAATAAACAATAAAAATATGACATGCATGTGATGATGTCAGAGGAGGTTTGGTTTGAGACGTCGACCAGGGTGGAGACTGATGATGATGATGATGATGATGATGATGGTAAAGACAAGGAGTGAGAGGTGTTTTGGGGGGAGAAGGAGGATAAAGAGGAGGTCTGGGGGTCAGGATGAGGGGGATGGTAGGAGGAGAAGATAAAGGGTGTGGACAAGGGGGAAGAGGAGGAAGTAGAAATGTGAGGAGCGATGTGATGGAAAAGGGTGTGGAGGCTGCAGCGACGCAGGAGCTGCTTTGTCTAAAAACCTCACCAGGGTTGTTTCAGTTTCATCCAGTGCTGGGGTTTTTTTAAACAGGGTCAGAAACTTTCACTCTGTATTGTCTTGACTCTCTGGTCCAGAGACTGTGGAAACTGATGACAAAATAGATTCCCATGTTTTAGTAACACTGCATTGCTATGTGTTGATGCTAACGCTAACACAGGCAGGAGATGGAGATGGATTGAAACTCAAAAAGTCACTTCTTCTTCTGTGCAAACACCACTGTAGATCACAGAGCACCTCCCTGTGCATGTGGCAGGATTTGAGTGATTATGTGAAGTAGTAAAGATTTGACAGAATCAACAAATGGAAAAATCAAGCAACATTTTGAAGGTCTCATCTCAGCAAGACGCTTGCTACAAAATAATTCATAACCAGCTCCATTTTTGGTCCAAGACATTTTTGGTGATGTGAGAATTACATTGTGACAAAAAAGTTTTGGTGATGTGAGAATTACATTGTGAAAAAATCATGTCTACCCAGTGTGATGCAGCTACAGATATACAGGGCTGATGTTTGGTGTCACTGTTAACGTTTCCATCGTTGGCGTTTTGTCACCAACAGTTTCATGGCAGCTTTACTGTGCCATGTTACTCTAGGCCCAAGACAAACACTTTGACTGTGAACCATCTGACATCCCGTTGATAGATTTACTACGATCCATTTTTGGTTTTGTCAGTGGAAACATAACGTCTTTAAGTCTACTATTCATATCTACTTAATTAGGATTTACCACACAAACATGTCACAGGTGACTTATGATAGTAGCTGTGCCACAGCACCACGTAGTGGTCAGAAATTGTTCTCTTCCTCTCTAAAACAAACAAGTCCAGACTTGAAGCAATTTGTTTGAATATTAAAATACTTTCGGTGTCACAGCGCCGCTCAGTGTTCAATGTATGTGTGACAGTTCTTTTGTTTTATGACGCTCATGACGTTAATGGTCAAAAGAAAATCATTGAGTTCCATTTAGCTTCCTTAGTTTAGTGTGTGTGCATTCTGTATTTTGTTTATAAATCAAAATGGCTGCTGTATTCAGGACTCTTACCCAAGTAACCTTAAACGCACCACATCGACCCAGACAACGTGGGACACAAGGATGTGGACTGTGAAAACGTTCACCTGTCTTCACTGTCCGACTCCTTCCTTCACATCTTCACTAGTTTTACGTCCTGTGGTGCAATGAAAACACTGCCGGTCGGTTTTTTTTCTCCCTCTGAGCTGCTTTTAAAACACCATCAATAATTCACAGTCCATCATCAGTCCTCGGCTCAGGAATCTGAGTCTGACTCCCAGCAGCTGGACTGGCTCCGGCCTGGCTGACAGTGTCACTGCTCTGGGATCAGTTCAGATCAGGAGAAGGATGACTGCAGCAGAAACAGCAGTGTGGTCTCATCTTACAGCACCACTGTGTTAAAGGACACAGGCGCAGTAAAGATCCTGTGTGTGTGTGTGTGTGTGTGTGTTTGTGCCTTTACTGCTGCCTGCAGTATTCATCACCAGCCTTTTCCTCAAACGTGTGCAGTCACTTTAATCAGACTTTCACGATCAACCATACATCACCCCACGACCCAGAGAGACTGTTGGACAGTCAGTTAAATGAACCCAGGCAGAAACAACTGTAAATAAACAAAGCCCAGACAAAAAGGTCAATGGCTGATTATAATAGATCAACACACCCATGCATGACCCAGTGATTGAGAATGGTCAGACTTTAGGGTGAAATGAATGAAGGGAATGATGTGAAAGATTTATTTTGACTCTGTAGTAATATGGCCAGAAGGCCATGTTTTTGTTAAGAAATAATGTATATAATAACGTAATTTAGTGCTAGCTAACAGACCTGAGCTACTACCTGAATAACACCTACTACCTAATAATTAAAGGTTAATGTAATTAATTGGGTTACAGAAAAAAATCCATTAAAAACAAATGAACTTAACTATCAATTATAATATTTCACCCTGTGATTTAGCATGAACGCTAACATGTTGATATTAAACCACAAATATTTTGTTGGATTTGTCCCTTGTGGAGAAGGTAAATCAACACCAGCTATCACCAACTAGGAGCTGTGTATTTTGATGGGCAGCCATTTTGGATCTGAGATTAGTTTGCAAACAGAAGCTAAACGAACATGTTTGAGCTATGCTAACAGTAAGCTTGGTGTGATTCCATCCCTGCTTGATGTGATTGCACTCAGAGCATTTTTATTTTTGCAGGATATCTGCTTTTGTGAGTAGATGTTGTTTGTTTGCCTCTCTGTTCGAATGAGAAATAACCTTTTTCGCACGTGCCAGTGTGTAACGCTTTGCTTTCTCCGCTGCACCTCACCTGCTGCCCAGGTAAACCTAAAACCCCGCTGTGCCATGCCATTGGCTCTGCTCTGCCCAATGAGCTTCCTGCTGCTCCTCGTGCCAACCAATCCCGCTACGGTACTGACCACATGACTCATAAGTTTGTGTGTGTGTGTGTGTGTGTGTGTGTGCAAGCCACGCTCATGCTATTTTTCCGCCGCAATTCTCCTGCAGCTCTTCCCGGGTCTGCATGTCTGTGGGAGTCTTTCACACTGGAATGTTACGTCACCGATGTCTGTTTAACCATATGGACATTTATACTGTTAGGTTAAGGTTGTTTTATTACGAGGGTGAAGATTGGACGAGTCATTTATTTGTAAAACATTCTCATTTTGTTGTGTTGTTCAGAATGACCCTGGACCAAATAGTGAAATATGCAAACAATCCAAGCCAAATCCACAGGGGGAATAGAAAATCTTCTCATATTTAATGTTTAATGCGTTGTTTAAATCTTAAGCTCGGCTTCTGTAGCCTCTAAACCATAGTCGTTTTAAAAGTAAGAAATCAATCGTATTTAACGCAATATTGCTAGTAAAAAAACGGATTGAAATTTGTGTTTGGATTGTTTGCTACTTGATAAAAGTTGGTTCCGATGTAAAAGACGTTTTAAAGTACAAACATTAATCTGGTATAGTTTTCATGAACATTCTGACGACTTGTCGTGTATTTTGGTCACTGTGGTATCTCCAGGTTTTCAACCATCACATTTTCCTTCCACATTTTTCCCGTGACTCCATGGTCTTGATGAAGCCATCTTCAGTCACTCTCTGCTCCTGCTCCTCCTGCTTGATCTCCATCTCCTGTCACAAGAGTTAATCCATGCAACAGATCTTTCATCTGCAGGACTGATTTTTCCGATTGTCACGTGACCGTCGTTTTTGTCCTCGTTGTTTAAGGGCGTTTGTGTTGAACATTTTTATCATTGATCCAGTCTCTTAACCACACACTCAGTAGGTGAACAACACACCCTGAATCACTGATGGCTGTTGTGGCTCCTATGTCTTTATCAGTTGCTGACTTCCTGTCTCCGCCTCCTACGGATGCACCAATGAACAAACAGTTGTCGAACTCTTCAGCTGCGCTTCATTCACCAGAGAGAGGTGAAAAATAAATGATGTTACTCAGACGCTAAATAGCATTTGTTGTTTTTAAAGGCGCTGTGTTTTTTAATGATGATCGTTATACGATTTCTTTGTCAATCCTCCGCGTAAACATTGGTCTTCCTTTTCATCTGTGTGTTCATTTAAATCTGTTGGTGTGTGTGTGTGTATCCATCAGTGTCTTCTGTGTCTCATCCAACAGCTTCCCAGAACAACAACAACCAGAGAGTGATCAGAAGTTCCTCCAACCGCAAGAGCATCGCTGGACTTCCAGAAGAGATGTCCAGATCCAAGACCCCCTCGGTCAGAGCTGTGTCTCATCCAACAGCTTCCCAGAACAACAACAACCAGAGAGTGATCAGAAGTTCCTCCAACCGCAAGAGCATCGCTGGACTTCCAGAAGAGATGTCCAGATCCAAGACCCCCACGGTCAGAGAGAGAATCAAACACACACACACACACACACATAAACACACACACACACCATGAAAGATACAAATTGGTTAGAAAAAAACTAGCCTTTCTAATACAAGTCTTAAAATGTAACATGTGAATTAATGTGACCTCTAGGGGGAGACTCCAAACACACCCGTCCGCAGTTCTTCCTTCAAGACCAACGGCAAAGGAACAGCTACACCTAAACGGTAACAGCCAACCCCTCGTAACCCCCCCCCCCTCATACCCTGACAGATGACTTCATATAATAATATAATGTATCTGTGTTTCCAGTGTGAGAACGGCCAGGAGTCGGGCTCAGTCACCCTGTTCTCCGGGTCAGTACCCTCCTTCCCCGCTCAGACACAGGGCCTCCACTCCTGGTACTGAAGACAAGGTTCATCCTGAGGTCAAAGGTCACAGCACCCTCGAGAGAAAATCCACCAAATCTGAGAATTCAGAGAAGAAGATTCCTAAATCCACCAGCAGGGAACTAACTGCAGGTAAACACACGGTGTCGGACCGAGGCTCCGCAGCTTTAGTTTAAAATGGAACTATAACTATATTGAGCCGCCTTTTGTTGTTCTCCACACACAGAGTCCCCGTCGACACCTACAGGAGGCAGGAGCGTCGGAGGCACGACAGATGCTGAGGAGGCGTCAAAGCTGCTGGCAGAGAGACGGCGTCAGGCCAGAATACAGAAGGAGCTGGAGGAGAGGCAGAGGCAGGAGGAGGAGAGGTGTGTGTGTGCGTTTGTGTGTATCTACATATATATATATATATATACTGTATATATTAACTAGCAACTATCCCAATTATAAAAATGATTTAGACCAGGTTAACCTTTTTTCTAGGGATAGTTTGTGACCACATCTGTGTAAATGTAACATTTATAAAATGTCTGCAGACTG